CAAGTACTGAACACTTTAATCCAGTACTTATGTTGATTCTATCAAATAAGAAAACCACTGAGTACTTGAACCCAGAGATTTCGACGATTGTCCTAATTATCCTAGTCACTGAACACTTAAATCTAGTGAATAGGCGCTTATGTGACGTAAATTTAGCACTTGAACTTAATTTACAAAGCTAATAGAATAAAGAAATGAATTAATAACGAATGTGGCTTCGCATCAATTGAATTGTCAAAAATTAAATTGTGCCTTTCATTTAAAAATTAATAATCAATTACAACAAATAAATTAACTAAAACAACCTTGACCATGCATGCCAAATAATGAACTTGTAACAAACTGCAAGAGTGCATTTTCTTGCAGACGAAATCTGACGCTTTTGTTTATATGTACAAACAAAAATGTGTGACGTGTTTTGGGTATTGCATTGACAAAGTTATTTTTTTTACATTAAAATATATTTCAAACAAATTATTAAGACAAACAAATTATTTGATACAATATAAACAATTATTACAAGCAAAGTAATACAAACAAATAAATTTATACAGTTCATATAATATAACATTTAACTTTCTCCCCGCGTTGAACGCCCGTTCAACAATATAAACCCCTAGCTGTCAGGTAGTCAGTCCGACTATATGTCGACGACGAATTCTCGTGACTGTCGACGTGGCATGGGTGTAGGTGTCGTACGGATGGCTTCTTCATCGGATGAAGCTTCAATTGGTTTTACCGGTTTTTTCTGCAATTTCTTCTTCACCATGATAATGATTAATATCAGACTTATAACGAGTGCTGCATAAGCTGTGGTGAAGCTGTGGTACTTGTGTGACTGAAATTGATTTGGAAGATCATTTATCTGGTATGACTGCAAAACCTTTTGTAATACTGTGAGGTCTTTCAGCTGTTGATCGTATTGGTTGTAGCGTAATGTTGACAGTGTACTGTTGCTGCTGTAAGCATCTGATGTCTTCATAGAGGATTGTAGCCTTAATTCGGAGATTTTACCAAGACTACTGTATGAATATCTTGACGTGCTTGCAATTATTTGTTGTCCTTGCACGAAAACGAAGTTGTATTTAAGCACGCAGTCTGGAACGATCGTCAATAAGCCTGAACCTTTTAGATTTAGTGGTATGATTTTCTTATTACATACTGCAGTTGCTGGTGAAGACGTTGATGTCGCATAAATCCATTGATTTTTTTGATTTAACGAAATCCAAGTCAGAGTGTTGACAGTGTGTTTTAACCGACAGTTTGTTATTGTGTTGTTGTTGAATAGGTTGATCTCACACGCATATTCTTCGGAACCAAAATTGTATCGTATGCGGACGTTGGTACAAAGAAATTCCCCTTTCTTTATGGTCTCACAAAGACTTAAATCGGATTTCATAAGAGGAAAATATTGATCATGATGCGTATTAATAGCCAAAATAGAACTGCATGAGTCAATTACGGCCATGGAGTCATTTAACCAGTTCGGGATTGGAATTAGTTGAAACAATTCAAATCGTTCATGTTCAATCAAGGGTAATGTTATACTAAAAATTCCATGCTGCTGTGTGATTCCACCTTTAACCTTTATTAGTCTGTAAAGGGATATTAGCTCATCTTCTGGCATCGGTAATTCTAATGATGGTAATAAATGAAATTTGATTTGATTGACTTCATTTTGTAATTGTGTTAGTGTCAATAACAACGGATTGACTTTTCCATGATGAGTACCAGTTAGAGCATCCATAATGGCAGATTGTATCTTCTGTAGATTATGTACTACCAGTGTTAGTTGAATGGCTCCTGCATTGAAAACTTGATTAAGCCGTACCTGATTAACCTCTCTATTTGTATCTTTTATGGAATTCATCAGTGCCTTTATTTCATTGTCAATGTGCTCAAAACCTTCTTGAACTGCGATTTTATCTTTTTTCATTATATTGATTGTTGAATCGATAACTGATGTTTGATTCTTAAATAACGTCAATAATTGCATTTCATTTTGTTTCACTTCTGAAATCATATTTGATATTCCTTTGGCGTATTCAGAATCCAATACTCCAAATAGCGAGTTTGCAGTATTGCCTACAAGGTCAATTGCTCCTCTTCTGGATCGATGGTCATGAAGTAATTTATCATCGAGTTATAGTTCGAATTCAATACGTGATTAATTGTACTCGCACATGATGCGTTTGGTTTTATTTGTTGACAAGCTTGATGTAGCGACGTTATTCCTGTGTTTAGAGCTGATGCTTATGTCCAATAAAGACTTAAGTCGTAATAAACTAATAGATTCCATTCAGTGGTTGATATGACAGCTATGCCCAGATTTTCAAAGTGAATACCCAATTTCGACCCAAACCTTTTATTATCAATTGGAGACTCTATTACTATTGGCAATATTAGTAATAGTGTGAGTAATACAGAACAGTACAAATTGGTCAGCAGTTTTCTACGTTTTGTCTTGGGCTCTTTATACGACTATTTTTTATATCCAATAATTACGTTGTCAGGAGGTATTTCGTGATCAGCTTCTGCCATTGTTGGTTGATCATCTGTATTAACAGGCAGTACAGCTATTCGATGAATTGGGCGTTTAAAAATGTCTGTCGATGTTTCAACGTCAGCTACTCGGATACGTCCATCTGTACCCTTGTACACATGTACAATTCGTCCCAAGGGCCACTGCATCACTGGGACGTTATCTACTTTGATTATAATCATGTCTCCTAACTGTATATTGGCAGATTGTGTTTTCCATTTGTTACGTTGTTGCAGTTCCATCAAATATTCGTTAGACCAGCGTTTCAAGAAATTATGTTTTAACTGGGAAACTAGGTTCCAACGTGACAATAACGTGGTTTTGATCGGCTGTCTACATGAGTTGTAAGATCTTCTCCAATTAATAAGTGTCCTGGAGTTAATGCTGTCAAATCAGTTGGATCATTAGACATTGGAGTCAATGGTCGTGAATTTAATATCGCTTCAATTTCCACCACCACTGTTTCGAGTTCTTCATATGTCAATGATGCTGTTGAAACGCTGCGTAGTAACAAATATTTTGCGGACTTTACAGATGCTTCCCATAAACCGCCAAAGTGTGGAGCCCTTGGTGGAATAAAATGAAAGTTTATTCCTGTAGTACTGCAAGCAGAGATTATTGCTTCTTGCCCTTCATTAGAATAAATGCTTTCCTCTAGTTCTGCTAACTGGTTTTTGGCGCCTACGAAGTTTGTTGCATTATGTTAAGTTGAATCGTTTATTAAGACTAAAAATAAAGAAGGTATAAGAAACAAAATGCACAAGATGCAGGAGAAAGAATAGTATTGCCAGTATCAACTTATTTGTTCTTATTATTTATAGCATTTATAACACCTTTCCTGAACAAATAATTCCTGTCTTGCTCATGCATGTTGTTTACAATATTATTAAACCATAAATTCATTCGAGACCAAAACCATTCATCAGAAAATTCAGCGTTTGTCTCGTAACAGCTTTCGTTAATATGTCTGCAATCATTTGGTTTGTTGGCAAATATTTTATTTCAATCTCCTTTGATTCTATCTTCTGACGAACAAACTTTGCCTTTATGTCTACATGTTTGGTTCGATTTGAGTGTGAATTGTTTGTTGCTACTTGAATTGCGCCTTTATTATCGCAATATATGACTATGTGGTTTGTATTGCCAAATACAAGTTCAGATTCAAGTCGTTTAAGCCAAATAGATTCTTGTATAGCGGCGACAAGTGACATATACTCCGCTTCCGTTGAAGACAACGCAACTGTCTTTTGACGTTTAGTAGCCCAGGATATGGCACCAGATTGAAAGGTGAAAACGTAACCGGTCGTTGAGCGTCGATCATCTACATCACCGGCCCAGTCTGCGTCGCAGTAACCTAATATTACACCATCCTTTTCCTTTTTGTACACGAGTCCAATTTTCGTGGTTCCCTTAAGATAACGCATAACACGCTTTACTGCTTCCCAATGAGCCTTTCCTGGATTTGAATTATATCTACTTAGAAGATTGACTGCATAACTTATATCAGGTCTTGTAATTTGAGCAGCATATAGTAAACAGCCAACAGCTTGCATGTATGGAGTCTGATCCATTTGTTGTTTTTGTTCATTGTCTTTTGGTGACATATCAGAGCAAAGTTTTTGATTGTAGTCAACTGGAGTTGCTGATGAATTACAATCTAGCATGCCAAATCTTTTAAGAATATTTTCTATATAATTTGATTGATCGATTCTAATACAATCACCCTCACGCGTGATGTTCATACCCAAAATTGATGAAACCTCGCCCATATCCTTCATTTCAAATTTACTCGCTAGTTCTTTTTAGAATGTTAATTTCGTTGAGAGTGTTTGCAAAAATTAGAATATCATCTACATAAATTGAAACATACATTATACTTTTACTATATACTTTATAGTAGATGCATTGGTCAACTTCGCTTCTCTTTAACCCTATTGCAACTAATTCTCGATTTAGAGTTTCGTTCCAAACGCGTCCTGATTGCTTGAGACCATATATTGAACGTAGAAGTTTACATACCTTGCCTGAGCTATCGTTAAAACCCTTCGGCTGTTTCATGTACATTTCTTCATCGAGAATTCCATTCAAATATGCTGTAACAGCATCCATTTGGTGTATAATCAAATCATTTTTGGCGGCGAGCGCTAATAGAAACCTTATTGATTCATATCTTACCACCGGAGCAAATGTTTCTGTGTACTCAATGCCTTCTATTTGTCCGAAACCTTTTGCAACTAGTCTGGCTTTTCTGCAAACCGGAGTACCTTGAGCATCTAATTTAGTTTTAAAAACCCATTTTGATGGGATTGCTTTTTTACCAGCCGGCAACTCAGTAAGTTTCCATGTCTTGTTCCGTAAAAGCGAGTCAATTTCACTCTGCATAGCTGCTTTCCATTTATCAGAGTTATTGGACGTCATTGCTTCTTCAAATGAACAAGGATCGTTTGATATATAATCTAAAGCACAAAAATTATATGGCGAATTTTTGCTTGCTATTCTCTTCGAACGTCGTATGTCAGATTCTTCTTCCACTTCGTTTGATATTACTTGAATCTCAGAGCATTCCGGAGAGGTATTATCTATTACTTTGTAGTGTTCATCAGAACTTTTGGTTTCATTTTCAGTATTTTTAAGTGGCAATTCGCATTCCTCTATATTCTTCCCTGAATTGTCACTTTCAATTTGTATAATAGGAACAACTATACCTAGGGAATCACTTTTTCCTACATATTTTTCATTTTCAAAAAAAATCACGTCTCTACTGATAATAACTTTTTTGTTTTGTGGGTTTATTAATCGATATGCTTTACTATTTTCACAGTATCCGGCCATAATACACTTTATTGATTTTGGGTCAAGTTTAGTGCGCTTTTCTTTAGGTATATGTACCATAGCTAGGCATCCAAATACACGTAAGTGTTTGAGAGTTAGTTTTTTATTGCTCCAAACTTCTTCAGGACAATTTTGTTTTTCTCGACATGGTATTCTATTTATAATATATGTGGCAGTCATAGCTGCTTCTGCCCAATATTGCTCGTTTAAACCACTGTCCGTTAACATACAGCGTATACGTTCAATAATTGTACGGTTCATTCTTTCCGCGACTCCGTTTTGTTCTGGTATATATGGTGCTGTTGTTTGATGAATTATTCCACATTTTTTTAAAAAATTCGAGAAATTTCTATTAATATATTCGCGTCCGTTATCCGTGCGTAGCGTTTTTATCTTTTTAGAACATTGATTTTCAACCATATTTTTAAAATCAATAAATTTATTGAAAACGTCGGATTTTTCTTTAATTGGAAATACAAATAACTTTCTTGAGTAATCATCAATGAATGTTAATAAATATTGTGCACCAGAAAATGATTTTGTTTGTAAGGGTCCAAGTACGTCGGAGTGCACTAGTTCTAATAATTCTGTTGCCCGCGTACCTTCATTTTTATTTAACTTTCTGGTTTGTTTTGATTCTACACACACCACACATTTCTCGGATGTAAATTTATCAAAATTAACACTATTACAAAGCATTTTGACATCAGCCAAACTTTGGTTGCAAATATGTCCCATTCTGCGATGCCAAACGTTAAAATCATTTTTGACCATCAGTGATTTAGCATTGTTCATGTTTTTTGTTCGTACGTAATGGCACGCATTTTAATTTGTATAAACCATTGTTTAATACCGCAGTTGACATTAAATTGCGTTTGCTGTCAAAAATTTTACATGTGTCTTTTCATTTGTTGCACTGACAAAAAATTCGCACATAAATTTGGCACATATTCAACATTCTTAAGAGTTGCATTTAATTTGTGTTCACCTAAGAGAACTATTTTCATATCACCAACGCTCTTAACAGACATTTCACTTTTATTTGCAACAACTATTGATTGATTATTTATCTTTCGAATATTAAATAAAAAACTTTCGTCGTTTGTCATGTGGTTAGTCGCGCCAGAATCGACATACCAATTCTTCGAAATGTTTTCTTGATTTTTTTCGCATTCTAATTTTACAGCTTTAATGCACGTTTGCATATTGTCTCTTTTTTACTGCAAATAAAATTTTATCGTCTTCTTTTCTTCCGTTATTCGGCTTATTTTTTCTGTAATATGTGGTTTTATTTGGACAGTTTTTAGCATAATGCCCCTCTTTTTTGCAATTATGACATGTGTTTTTATATACAAATTTTTTCTTATGCACGTTACCACTATACAAAGCCGAATTTGTTTCATTATTATCAAACTTGGAGTCTTGCATTAATAAATTTTTGACTTTATCGACTGTTAATTTGTCTTTACAATTTTCGACAGTCATCACTAATGGTTTAAGCTCTTCAGGCAGACCTGCAAGTATTAAAGACGCTGTGAGCTCATCATCAATATTGAGTCCAGCGCTGTTTACTTTCAAAGCCGTCATTATTATTTCATTTAGGTATTCCTGCACTGATTTGCAGTTTTCTAATTTTGTATTTACAAGTT